TTATAAATCACTCTACTACAAGGACACGTGCACACGAATGTTCATTGCAGCACTGTTTACAATAGCAAAGACCTGGAACCAACCCAAATGCCCAACGATGATAGACTGGATAGGGAAAATGTGGTACATATACACCATGGAATATTACGCAGCCATCAAAAACGATGCGTTCACGTCCTTTATAGGGACATGGATGAACCTGGAAACCATCATTCTCAGCAAACTGACACAAGAGCAGAAAATCAAACACCGTATATTCTCGCTCATAGGCGGGTGTTGAACAATGAGAACACATGGACACAGGGAGGGGAGCACTACACACAGGGGTCTGTTGGGGGGAAATGGGGGAGGGGCGGGGGGTGGGGAGGTGGGAAGAGATAGCATGGGGAGAAATGACAGATACAGGTGAGGGGACGGAAGGCAGCAAAGCACACTGCCATGTGTGTACCTATGCAACAATCTTGCATGTTCATCACATGTACCCCAAAACCTAAAATGCAATAAAAAAAAAAAGAGGGAAAAAAAAAAAAAAAAAAAAAAAAAAAAAAAAAAAATCTTGCTGTGATTTCTACAAATCGAGTTAGGAAAAACTTACATCTTCATTGTTATTGGATCTTTCAATTTATGAACACAGCATATATCTCCATTTGAAAGAAATCAAAGAAATCTGCTTTGATTTCTTCATCAGATTATTGTAATTTTTATCATATATCATGTATTTATTTTTTCTTTTTCTTTTCTTATGATTTGAGCAATTTTAGGTGATTTGTGGTTTTTTGTGTTTTGATTTTCCCTTGTTCCTTGTTGATGTACAAATAAACCATTGATTTCTGCACATCAATCTTATATTTCCCCATATAATTGAATTCGGTTTTAGCTCTGAGATTTTTTTTTTTTTTTTTTGCAATTTCTTGGTATGTCTACATAGGCAATTATGTCTTCTTCAGATAACTTTGAAGATAACAGTTTTCTTTCGTCCTTTTCAATAAGTATTACTTTTATTATTTTATTGCACTTCCTAGACTTTCCAGGCTTATGCTGAATAAGAGTTGTAGAGTAAACAACTCACCTTAATAATTATTTTAGCAGAAAAGAATTTAGTACTTCACCATTAAGTATGATAGTGGCTGTAGGGCTTTTATAGATATTATTTGTTTGAGGAACTTCCTTTAATATGTATACATTGAGATGTTTTATCATTAACAATATTAATTTTGCAAATTCTTTTTACTATTGATAGAAGTGTATGAATCTTGTAGACCACTGATATGATTAATTACATTGATTTTTAATTTTGAACCAATTTTGAAAATACAGAATAAATTCTCCTTTGGCATGATTTATTAATTTTTGCACTTTACTAAATCTGATTTGTTAATATTCTGTTGAGGATTTTTGTGTCTAAGCTGGTGAGAGTCTGCCTGCTTCTCTCTCTCTCTCTCTCTCTCTCTCTCTCTCTCTCTCTCTCTGTCTCTGTCTCTCTTCCTTGTACTTGTTTTAATGTTCTTTTGTTATCAACTAAAACTGAAATCATAAAATGAATTGGGAAGTGTTTACTCCTTTTCTGTATTCTAGAAGTGATTGCTTAAAATTAGCATTTAAAAAAATATTTGGCAGTAATGTCCAGTGAATTCATATGGGTCTGGAGATTAATTCCAGAGGAGTTTTTAAAATAAAGATTTTCTTAAATAAATATTTTTTAAATAAATACACTAACAATATTATCTCCTTCTTATTAGATGAGTTAAAGTAGTTTATGCTTTTAAAGGAACTGACTGACTGATTTTTTTTTACTTCTATCAATTGCCAAGGAGTTTTAAAAAATTCTAATCATAATTATATATTTTTTACTTTATTATGTTAGTTTGTATTTCATTTTATTTTGATTTTTCTTCATTATTGCATGTGTAGTTTAGATTTATTTCTGGTGCATTGTTGCTTCTATAATTTTTGTAATGTTTATCTTTGTCTTGAATTCTATTTTGTCTGAAATTAACCCTTGTTAGTTACCTATAACTTGTAGGCCCAAAACTCTTTTTTTATTTAAAAAACATATTACAAGAAATTTATAAAAGTAGAAATAAAAATAGTGAAAATCAACTGTATGAAAATTTTCAATAAAAAATTTAAACACAGAAAACTCAATATTTTACTCTAGTCTTTGAAGGATATGTAACTAAAGTGCTCTGTGTGTTTTGAATACAATTCCTACTGCCAAACATGGATCTAGAACACATCCTTTCTGTAATTGTGAGGAATATTTGAAGTACATCTTTAGTAACTTAGAGTGACTATACTTTGTGATTCTTTTTGTGTGTGTGCATTGACATCTTCAAAAGACAACTTTGATGGTCACAGTTTTGCTGATATTATCCTTTTGTACTATAATCAAAATATTTTCAGTTATATTTTAATAAACATCAAAAATAATTACTCAGTTTTTGAACTCCTGCACTGACTCCATTCAATCAACTCTGCATAAATATTTAACTTCACTATTTGTCCACTTGTGAACAACAGCCAATGGATGTTCACATGCAACTTCCATAGAAGACTGAATACTATTAAGTCTTATTTACAATACAAGAAATCCCAGGTATTTATGAAAATATTGCTTGCTGAATGTTTTCCTATTAAATGATTACCAGATAAGAATTCTAAGTATCCATTTTGTCTTTTGAAATATTCCATTGACTCACTGAATCTTGACTTGAAAAAAAATTAGGATATCATCATCTAAAGACCTGTAGTCTGACATTTCACTTATATGGTCAATGGCAATATTTTTATAGACTCAATGTTTGCATCTCTCAACAGTTTTATCTTGTCACCTGATTCATAATTTGACGGTACTTGGAGGTGGAGCTCTTAGAGCCCCCTTGAATGGGATTAGTGTTCTAATGAAAGAAAGCCAAGAGAGATCTTTCATCCTTTCCACCATGCAAGGTTAGAACAAGAAGATGGTTATGATTCATGAAATAGGCCCAGAGAATAATTCTGCCAGTGCCTCTGTTTTGGAATTTCCTTCCTCCAGACCAATGAAAGATACATTTCTATTGTTTGACAGCTGCCCAGTTTACGATATTGTTGTTACAACAGCCTCAACAGTCTAAAATAACAACAAGCTAAACTACTGCTTTATATTTCTTTGCATTTGTCAGATTAATAATTGTATAATATTTTCTTTTATCAATAGTCTTCCTCATATTATTACAAGCAGTAAAAGAAAGACTGAATTCTCAAATGTGTTCAACAAAACCTATGACAGAAAGACCAAAGTCTCCAGGACTTTGTTATACTTTCTTGATAGTTGATATATCACATTGGACAAAAAAATATAAGAAAGCTGAAGTTTTCCAAAAGAATAAAAAATGGATCCCAGAAATAAATCTTCACATACATGGTCTAATGATTTTCAAGAATGCCTAGATCATTCATTCAGGAAAGTTCAGTCATTTCAATGTGTCATATTGAGATACCTGGGTATTTGCATGAAAGTGAATGAGGTATGGCCCTTATTGATACCACATACAAAATAACTCAAAATGGATCAACAATCTAAATGTAAGAACGGTTAAAATAGAAGACAATAGGAAATTGAAATAACATGGAATTTGGTAATGATTTCCTTTATATGACTCCAAAAGCACCATTAGTAAATGAAAAAACATAAATTAGGAACCATCATGATTAAAAACTGTTGTGCATCAAAGGATACTAACAAGAGTGAAAAGATAATCCATTGAATGGAAGAAAATAGTTAAAATAATGTATCTAATGAGGGATTAATATTAAGAATATATAAAGAATTCTTACAGGGAAACAACAATAACAAGACAAATAATTCCTTTTACAAACGGGCAAAGTACTTGAATACTTTAATTCATCCTCAAGGAAATATAAAGATGTGGAGAAGGCTAGTAAGCACATAAAAAGGTGTGTTTTTCACATGTTAACATTACTAATTTTTGGGGAAATGCAAGTAAAAACCACAATGAAATATCAGTTTGTACCTATTAAGATGGTTATTAAAAAGAAAAATTCAAAGCATATCAAGTGTTGACCAGGATATGAAAAAATTGGAACCCTTTGCATTGCTAGTGAAAATGTAAAATAATGCAGTCTTTGTGAAAAATAGCATGCTGGTTGCTAAAAAAAAATTAAACACAAAATTAGCATATTATCCAGGAATTCCACATCTACGTATATGCCTGAAAATATTAAAAGCAGAGACTCCAGTAGATATTTATATACCCATGTTTATAGCAACATTATTCACAATGGTCAAAACATGGAAAACCAAAATGTTTATTGACAAATAAATGGATAACTATAATATGATATAGGCATATAATGGCTCTATAATGTAGATATAAACCGAAGACCTTATGATAAGTGAAATAAGCCAGTCAGAACATGACAAATATTATGTAATTCTGCTTCTGTGAGTCAAACTCAAAGTTTAAGTAGAATGGTGGTTGCCAGCGGCTGAGTTCTGCTTCCATTAGTACCTAGGTTAGTCAGATTCATGGAGTCAAAGTAGAATCGTGGTTCTTCTGGGGAAAGGGAAAAATAGTAGATTAATATTGAATGGATAAAAAGTTTCAGCTTTGTTGAATGAGAAAGTTCTGAAGTAGTGTGGTGGTGATGGTTGCACAACAACGTCAATGAACTCAAGGCAGTTCACAAAACAATATGATACACTAAAATAGATTATAAGTAAATATTAAGTATACATGAAGGGATTATAAATAAATTTATGTCAACAATATTATATATTGTCAATGACTGTATATTGTCAATTATATGTGTAAGTGTATTCAGTTGACATACAAAATGTATAATGTACTTTGGGGCCCAGTGAGAGAATACTGAATAACACTTTTAAATTCAAATATATGGATTCTTTAACTGTGTTGAGTTATAAATGTTTATCATTCAAATTCTGTACAATTTGTATAATTTTTCAAGTAGTTAAAAAGGTACTTTCACATTTTCAGAAAAAGAGGAACCCTCGTTTCCAAAACAACGTGCTGCTCCTAAAAACAATGGTCTTTTGATCAGTTTCTACATTTTTTTACCTTTGCTCATTTTAATTGCTGTTGTTAGTCTTAAATGGAAAAAAATGAAGAGATTTTGGAGCAAAGTGGGAACAGTAAGCAGCAAGTAAGTAAATGTCCGAGTTTTAATTTAATTTAAAATTCATTATGGGAAGAATTCAATGCAATTCAGAATCCAAGTAGGGATTCTAGGATGGATTAGATTAATGTTTAGAGATTGAGTAAGTTCTCAGCATATAGCAAAATTGTTTGTTTGTTTGTTAGTTTGTTTTTCAAATATCAGTCAGCTAAGTATCCCACATGTTCTTACAGGGCTAAAAACAATGAAAACTATTCAGTAAAGCCTCATTGCCTTTCACGTAGGAAACCAAGTTCTCAACAATTGTTTACGAAGTTCTGTTGAATTCCCAGGGAACCCCATTTCTCTTACATTGACAACCACTTGTGCCAAAAAGGTCCACAGAAATAGGGAAGAAAATTTGTGAATAGAATATGTAGAAAGTAAGAAAATAGGAGATTGTACAGAATGACGGAGAGAAGTCAAATAGAATACTCTGTATTTTGTGCAAAGTTAATATCGCTCATATTTTTGTGAAATAAGTAAGGTACCTGCACAGCTTTTTTTTTTTTTTCTTTTACTGTAACACCACAGCAAACCATAATTTGCTTCATGAATATTTAGGGATTTGAGAATTCAAAAGGAAGAATAAACAAGTGGGATCATTTATTTAAAATGACAAAATCTGGTCACCTCAGCCTAAGTCTTACAACAGTAAGTGGTTTCCGGGTTGCAAAGGTAAGAAATGAAATAGAGCTGAAGCAAAAAAAGCAATGAAACAGATGATCAGGATCATTCTCTTTATGACTCAAAGGCTTTAAAATTGACGTCACCCCTTCTCGCCTATATCCACTGTTTCCAAACTGACTGCTCTGCCTGCGCTTGACCACTTGAAACGTACTGATTGGTTAATTAATGCAAATCTAGCTTTTTAAACTTCTCTTGATTTCACTCAAGATTACAGTTTTTTCTAATGTTATCTCTTTCATACAGATCTATCTCAGAAGACAGCAGTAGGACAAACAGCCAGTCACAGAGTTAAAGGTGACCTGAAATATTCAAATTGTTAAGAAAATGGTAATTCATGGAGTATTGTTTTGCTTTTAACAATACCTCACTATGAGAAAACTATTATTCCCATATTTCATGATTTTGACTCCTATTTATTAATACCATACAGTAAAACATAGAGAAGAAAAATATTTGATGTTAATTATGTTTTATACCGATATAGAAATATTTAATGTTAATGAATATTAGAGATTTATTGACCATTTTGTAAACAAAATGATGTTAAAGAGATTATATTTTTGTAAAATAGTCATAAACAATCACACCTCCTCTGACCTTATGTAAGGTTCTCATTGGGTGATTTACACAGATTATCTCTCTACATTTACTGTGATTGATCTTCACTAAGTTGCCATAGGTATTGTTATCCATATTTTAGAGATGAGGAAACGGGTAAAAGGAAATAAATTGAATTACCAGGAAAAAATAGTTTTAGTGAGTATTTTGGTGGAGTTTAACTTAAGGCAATCTGACTTTAGCGTTTAAACTCTTAAGATTGCCATAATCTTGAACAAATATAGCCTGATATACGACTGCGGACTGGGAATGGAATTTCCATTGATTGAGATGCCAGGCAACATGTTAAGTACACCTTCCCTCAAAAGCAGAAAGATACATTCTTTTTATCTTTAAGATGGGGTAAAATAGGCATTCATGTGTTTTGTTCAAAGTTCTAATTCATATGTATAAAGAAATGCTGGTATTTGATGTGTTAGGTCTATCACTAACAGTAAACAGAAAATTCAACCAAGAGTGAGATCAGGAAGCTAATTACTTAGCTCCCATTCCTTCATATCTGACTTTGTTGATAGTTAAGTCAATGAGTCTCTGTTTCCTTATCTTCCACTAAACATTGGGAATTAGAGAGCCACCAGAGCCCAAGCTTGCTTATTTTGAATTGTAAATGGCTCATCATAAACACTACTTCCCTTATCCTAGCAAAAAGTGAAAACCAGACATCCAGGCTTTCCCAGAGTTGAAGACAGAGCTTTTCCATTCCAGCTGCAAATCAAATCTATCCCACACAGGTATAGACCTGGCATTATCCATGCAAATATCTTCACAGCAGCTTTCAAAACACAGAGACGATATGATGCTAACACAACTCAGGAATGTTGGAAAAATATCAGGAATGTCATTCTATCTGGAGCAGAGTTACCAAGAGTGTTTCTGTTGTGATGAGGTCAGAGAAGTAACACCCATGGAGTGTCTTGGCACTCTTGGAGGCAATCTGTCTTTTACTCTGAGTGAAAAGGAGGAATCACCAGATGGTGCAAATTCCAAGCACGTGACTTACACTTTAAAAAGCTGCTTTGTTGACAACAGTCTATATGATGGAAAGAGTAGGTGTGGAGAAACTATTGCAGTTTGAAAAGATGGCGTTTCAGACAAAGGGTGGGAAGGATGGTCTGATGGATACATTTTGAAGGTAACCCAATAGTGTACTGACAGTTTGGATGTAGAATGTAAGAAAAGGTGCTTACATAGTATGAGTATTGATACACATCAGGAAAATAGCAGAGCTAAAAAGTAAAACCAGCCCTCTTTCTTAACAAAATTTTGACCCCTTTTTTTGAAATAGACTTCTTGCTCTGTCACTTAGGCAAGAGTACAAAAGTGTGATTTTGGCTCACTGCAACCTCTACATCTTGGGTTCAAGCAATTCTCCTGCCTCAGCCTCCCAAGTAGCTGAGACTACAGGCACATACCACCATGCCCAGCTAATTTTTGTATTTTTAGGAGAGACAGGGTTTCACCAAGTTGGCCAGGATGGTCTCAATCTCCTGAACTCATGATCCACCCACTTTGGCCTCCCAAAGTTCTGGGAAATTGCAAGTTTATGAATTCTGAGATGTAAAATCCATATAGGTAACCATGAGCCAAAACAAGTATCATGTATGCCACAATGAGAAGTTTACATGTTCTTCTATATGAATAAGAACATAGGTAAAGTACTTCCTAAGATGGTAAGAAAGGGATTTGGTACTGTATGTCTTGCAGTTTACAAATTTCACTGGGATAAAACAGGAAAAATAGATTCAGTCACAACTGGAAAGTAGTGTAGCAGTTAAGAGACTGCTGAATGCATAGGCAAGATGTGCTGAGGGCAGGATTGGAGAGGAGGAAAAGCACAAAAACGTTTTCAGAGATATGACAGAGGCCTGATCTGTTAGAGTAGTGATTGCATTGACGACTGGGGTTAGAATAAAAGGGAGACCTAAAAACACTGCACTCTTCTGACGGAATGGATAGTGACACCTTTTTCTGGTAACATGCTGTATAGTAGAGAAATAACTGGTTTGGTTTGGGGTGAAGAAGTGGAGGGGAGTGAAGAGTTAGTTTGTCTTTGAAAGAGTGTATGTAAGAACCCACTGGAAATGCACAGAGGGTTTTAGAACTTCTTTTCATCCTCAAATACTTAGAGAAAACTTAATAGTGATTCTTTCCTATTTTTTCATGTATTTATATTGCTGTTTTCTTCTGTTTCCTTTTTGTGATTTTTCTTTATACTTCTATTTCTTTGTTGATGATTTTCTTTTATCCATGTAAAGTTTAGAGACTATAAATTAAAAATATAAATATCGATTTAATATTCCCTTCTAATGTAGCTTTACACTTCATGATTTATAAATTTTCTGATCTACAGACAGACTGCACCAGTATAATCTGTTTCTCATTTTACTAATTGTTTTATCAATAGTTGAATAGTAAATAATAGCTCTTATTAACAATGAAGATTTAACATTTCTATTTTTCTGTATTTCCTCTGCAACAGTAACCAACTGATAAAATCAAAGCCATAAGATGAAGAAAGGATATTACCAAGAAACTCACCATTAACTGGTCTGATCTAACAATGAAAACAAATTCTACTCTCATTTTGTTATGGCTTAAAGATTTCAATTTCACAAAGCAAAATAAATCCTATGACTGAAAGCACAGAAGCTTGTGTCTATTGATTCTTCTACCCACCATGATCCTTAGTAGGAAATAAGTGGCTTTGTTTCCTTTTAACTTTGGAGGTTGTTACATCGTACGCTTATAGCTTTCTGAAACAGGAGAGTTCACTGATCTCCCTCACAGGACATGTGGCCGGGGAGTGGCTCACCTCTTCCGTCACTCCCCGCTCAAACCCCTCATCTGCTGGTCTGCTGGTCTGCTTCTCTTGCCACATCTGTAGTCATTAACAGGTGCACCCTGGGAATTCTGGGGCTTGCCTGGTGGCCATTAAAGCCCTTGTCTCTTTTCTGTACTTCCTCTCTCTTTCCTGGGCCTCCCTGTCCTTATTATAATAGACGGAGGTGGCTACTTTCAGGAGGTTCTCTAAAGTACTGTCTGGTCTCAGGGCCTGTTTTTTGCAGCTTTCTCCTCATCTCAGGGGCTGCCTGAGTAATAAATTTATCCCTTAGGATTAGTTGTCTCTCAACTGAATCAGGAGATAGAGAGGTGCTTTACCAAGTCATCTCTGAGCCTTTCCAAGAAGGCAGTGGGATTTTCATCCACTCCCTGGTCAATCATGGATAAGTTAGTATAACTGAGAGGCTTGGTCCTGGTCCTATGTAAGCACTCCATTATGCACACCTTTGAGTGTCTCCTCTTCCCTTCTCTCATCTCACCTTTGGGATCCCATCCAGGGTCCTCCATTGGTACTGTCCCTCTTCCAGTTGGATAATGTTCGCTCTCTTCCCTGATGCTATATTTCATACAAAGCTCATCCCCAAATCTCTCTGCTGCTTTCAGAGCAGCCTGTGTCTCAGTGTCTATCGGAGTCTGATTCAAAAGTAACATAATGTCTCTCCAGATGAGTTCAAATACTTGGACGAAATTCTGGAAAGCCTCTATATATTGGACAAGGTCATCTGAAAACTTTCCAAGATCCCCCTTAATTTACTTTAAGACTTGTAGAGAGAAGGGGATCTTGACATTACTGGGTCCAAATTCACCAGGCATCTATTGGAGAGCAAAGTGAGACTGGGGCTTTTCTCAGGTGAGGATTTCCAGGAGTGGGTGAGAGGCTGAAGCTGGACGGGGAGATTGAGGTGGACCAGAGGGGCAGGGCTGATGGGAGCTGGCTCCTTTGCTGGGGGTGCCTCTAGGATTTGTATCTTTACTTCCCTCAGCTCACCCCTTGCAGGCTTTCTTGAGACAGCAAACAGGAGGGCTGGATCAATCCTACACTGTTGGCAAAGGTCTGGATTGCCCTTCAAGGTATAGAAAGCTTGCCCGTATGGGGCCTCAGACCATCTGTCCTCCCATCTACAGAAAAGGTCCAACTGCCAGATGGTATCGAAATGAATGGTGTTCTAGTCCATAATTAGGCCACAAATTTATGCAGAGGGCTATGAGGCAATTTTCCTCCATATTCTGAGTGTCAAAGCAGTTCCGGTGGTTCAGGATACACTCTAAAGGAGTACAAGCTGGGGTGGTAAAGAGAGCTGGTTGTCCATTCTGAAAGACAGGGAATAGAGACAACCCTCAATTCTCTTCTTTCAGTAAAACTCAGGGTGTGTGAGAGAGAGAAAGCGAGCATCCTCCCTTTCTCTTCCACCTTTTTGTCCCCAAGTCCTTGCAACCTCGGCAGGTGCCACCTGCCAATGCACCCATGAAGCAGGGAAGGCCTGGAGAATAGGAATTATCCACCCTCACCTGTGCCTCCATCTTTCCAACTGTTGACAACCTTTGATCTCCTGAGGTCTCATTTACGCCATGGAGCATGGCCTCCTTTCTTGAGATGGGGTGTTTACTGGGCAGAAATTAATCCTGCCCATTTACATTGTGCCTTTTGCCTACCTTTGGATCCCTCAAATCTAGTTTTCCTTTCTAGGACTTCAGCCTGATGCTTGGAATCGAGTTTGAGACAAATTATTTCAGGGGCTGTTTCTGTCTAAATAAGATGGTCTCAAATGAGCCCTGCTGAATTTTCAGTTATCAGCCAGCAGGGGTCACTCTTCCGTTATTTTCTCTATCATAAACAGAGTGCTGTGGGTAGGAACCCTCTCTTAATAAACGTGAAAAAGAAGAAAAAGCTTAAGAGGCAAAAGGGGAAGGTCCTGGGGGAAGAACCCCTTGTTCTGTGCAAATGGGTTCCTTTAATCCTTGTATCCTTCCCCTGATTCAGACCTGGCTAAATTCCTTAGCTGGGGAGGAAAAGTACCATTGGCACAATGAGCAGGAAGCGCCAGCCAGCTGGCTCTGCTGGATGCCGGTGGCAGCCATAGTCTTTTCCTGCCCCTTGGGGCCATTGGTCACGGCTTGTGCATGCTGTAGACACCTCCAGATGCCTGAACCAGGACAGGAGGGGGTAAGGACGGGACATGTGGTGGACCACACGTGTCTGTGGCTGTCGGGCTGGGGATGACACATTTAAGAACAAAATGGAAACGACTTGTTCTGATTTGTATCTTTGATGGCTGAGCCAAATGCTCATTCTATTTAATATTATTAATGCAGCCTATAGTAAAGGCTTTGACATTATAAAGGAAGAGATACGAGCCATTTCAAACTGTGAGAGAAGAAACAACACCAAATGAAGTCTGGGATCTTGGCCTACAGAGTTCAGTCCTGGGGCCTTCCAGAAAAAAAAAAAAAATGCCTTTTGTTACCCCACAGCTTTACTCCAGTCTCTTGTGGTGGCTAGACCTCCCTGAAGAGAAACAGAGCAGGAAATAGGTTGGCAGGGTCTTGGAAAAGAGGTAGATCTGACAGTTTTGCTTTTTAGCCCACCTTTCTTCACGTCCTGGACAAGACTCTAGCTGAAACAGGAGAGTTCCTGGATCTCCTGGCAGGATGTGTGACAGGGGTGTGGCTTGCTTGTTCAGTCACCACCACTGCTCAAACCCCTGATGGGAGGGGAAGAACACAGACAGGCAGCTGCAGGAGCCAGGACAGCACTTTGGTGTCCAGACCCATGCTAGTGTCTAGGGGTGGCTGCTTGCAACCCAGTGTTACAAAGCTCTTTCCACTTTGCCATCACAGATGAATTGTGTTAACCAGCTCAATGGACCCTCTGCCTTTTTGCAAGGGCAGAGGGCCAACGTGACAGCTTTCTGTATCCCAGATCTCACCCAGAAGAATTTGGTCACACACAGGCTTGAAGGATGCATAATAAAGAAAGAGGAAAGAAACACAAAAAGTGTCTCAACAGTCAAAGACAGGTTTATTTTAGAGAATAAACTTGAGAGGGGCTTCTGACTGATTTTTTTTTTTTTAGTCAAGAGGATTCTCTCTTACAGACTAAGAGTATTTATTGTTTTCTTAGGGTGAGAGAGCTTTTCACAAGCATGGAATGTTTCTGTGTAGGGGAGAAGTTTACGGCAGGGTTGGAATGTCTCTGTACAGAGGGGAGGTTATCTTGGGGCTGACATCTCTCTGGCCAGAGGGGAGGTTATCTAAAGGCTGGTATGTCTCTGGTCAAGAAGGGTTTGGAATTTTTCTGGTCAGAAATGTTATTTGTGATTTATGGTCATGCTGATCTTAGCCATTAGGTTGATGCCCTTCGGATTTAGGCAGTTTTTGATCTAGGTGAACTTTAAAATAAAAGTGCTTTTCCAAGATTGCAATGCTCCTGCTCTGTCGGGATGAATGCAAAGTTTTGTTGAGTGATGGAGGTAGCTCTCAGTGGGATGGATGAGGAGCTGAAAGAGGGGAATAAAGTGGGAAGGGAACCTTCCCCTGGAGCTGAGCCATCAAGCAGCCAAATGCCCCCACCTGAACTCCACTCAGCGTTCAGACGTTCCTCCTGTTCTTTCTTTCTCTGCTGTGTCATTCTGCTGTCCATCTGCTTGTTTTGTTTCCTCATCTGCTTATATGCCTCTGGATGCTAGGGTTCAAGGTTTATGTGTGTACAAGGTAGGGGTCATGGCGGACCAAAAGGCAACTTTTGGGGCATGAAAACAGGAATGCCTGTTCTCATTTAGGGCCATGGTATCCAGGCTTGAGGGTGGGCCTTTTCTGGGGAACTGCCCCCTTTCGCCCTGTGTTTCCCTTTCCCCTGTCCATATCACTTCCATTGTGCACTGCTCCTGCCCACCCACTCTCAGATGCCCATGACCATACTGACTACTCTCGTCCCAAGAGAGGACACCTGCAGCCCACCCCTCTCTAATAGCCAATTATCCCTTTGTCTTATTCATTCCAGGTTTTGGAATATTGAGAGAGGAGGTATTGATGAGTGAGGTCAGCTCCACAGTCACATTACCCGTTAGCCTAAATCCTACCTTAAATGAATTGCTCAAACTGAGCTCTGGGTCACAGACACCTATACCATCAGGTATTATGCTTCCTTGGCCCTGTATAAACTGCTCTAGAATATTTCTCTGTCCTTTGGGAAAACCCAAAGTTGCCACTCTGTCTTCCCTTAAGCTGGGATTTTCTGGGTAAGATTTTCTTGCCTCAGTCTCACCTCCCCTCCCCAACTTGCTGAGATGGGTGCATTTTTACAGAGCATTACACAGAACATTACACATGGATTGGGGATCCACCAGCCCACCTGGAGTCCAATTAGGACCTACAGAGTCTCCATTACAAACCCAGATTCTCCTGGGACAGGGGTAGAGGAATCTAACCACAGAGGTCCAGAGTTTCCTATTGCCAATGTTGGTCAGCTGAAGAATGGATAAACAAAATGGGGTATATCCAAACAATGAACTATCATTCAGCCATGAAAAGGAACAAAGCATTGACACTGGTACTTAACATGGTTGATCCTGGAAACCATTACATTAAGTAAATAAACCAGTCACAAACACCAGATACTTACATGTGTATTCATTTGTATGATTTGTCCAGAACAGGAACCACTCTTGAGATACAAATCAGTTTAATGGTTGTTTAGGGAGTAGAGGTATGGAATAAAGAACTTATGTATGGGAGGGTGATGGCTAAAGCGTACAGGGTTTTT